TGATAGTCTTATGGAGATGATAAGCGAAGGAATTGATAGTGTATATATTATTTTTATGATTAATTTTATTAATTCAAATATATATTTTATAAGATGAATTTTTACTAACATTTTTAAAGCCATCAAATACTTTATCATTTATTCTTTATTATGTAAGTAATAATCCTGAGATTGAACAAAACATTCTTGATGAAATAGAAAAAGTATTTGGTCATGGATCTGATTTTAACATTAACTATGAAGAGTTATGTAAACTTGAATATATCGAAGCTGTAATAAAAGAAGGTAACCATTATTCTAATTAATAATTATTTGTTAAAAATTCAAAATCAAATTATTTTACTATGTAAAACTTTTTCTTAGTATTAAGAGTTAAGCCAGCTACAGCAACAATTTCTCGTTTTTCAGAAAATTCTGATCAAATTTATAATTATAAGATTCCTGCATCAACACAATTGGTAATCAATGTTATAGGTTTGCACATGAACCCAAAGTATTGGGACGAACCGACTAAATTTAATCCCTCAAGATTTTTGTCAAGTAATAGTAACTACAATAAAAATACCAAAGATGAAGTTTTTAACAAAAATTCATATATGTATTTTGGTGGTGGGTTGCGTATGTGTCCAGGTAAACAATTAGCAATGATTCAACTTAAAATGTTGGTTGTTTTATTATATAGCAAATATAAATTTGATATTATTACTAAGGACCCTTTAACTCGAGATAATATCAACACTCAATGCAGAGAATTAAAAATTAGAATTAAGCACAGAATGTGATATGCAACTTGAGCATAGATTATATACTGTACTTACTAGGAAATCAGAATAGAGGTTCAATGCAAATTTTGAATATTTTTATTACTATAGTTATACTTATTATTAAAATAAAGTCCCAGGACTGTAATAACAAGAATATTTATTGAGTGTTTAATTTTAAAGAGCTTTTTTATGAAGTATTATAAATGGATTGGTTGAGATTTAGTCTCGACCTTTTGTTTTCAGACAGAAATTGCATGATCGTGCGCTTAGAAATATTTAGCCCTCAGCTTCGTTACGGTAGCTAATACCCTTCAAATTATTTCGCTTGCTGTAACCGTATCTATTAAGGGTAGATAGGTTTAGGGCGAATTTTTATATGAAAACTAAGCAAACTGGATTTTTCTTTATTAAAAATATTGCGAGCGAAAGCCTAATTAGCTTTCTTTTCTTTTTACACATTTATATCGCATTTTACAATACAATTGCCTAACTATGATTACAACTTGAACGCATGGTCGTTACGACTTATAATGACTAATTCTAACACGATTCTGACCTTACATCACGTTCACGTGATGTATATTTGTTTTATGAATCTCCGATACGAACTTCCAGCACGTTAAGAAGGTGTGAACCAGTTCTGGTACGGAACTTGACCAGAAGTTTGGTTACACCAGGGTTCGGGTCTTAACTAATCAACACAACAAATCCAACAATCAACCCTAAGTGGAAGGCTGAAAGAGGGCGTGGAGGATTTGGTCCGGGTTTTAAGGTTGCAGAGAGGATTTCCTTAGGCAAGTGTTGTTTCGTTCTTAGGCTTTTGTTTTAGTTGTCCCGGTTTTAATCTTTGATTAGAGAGGCTTTTCTTATATGGATAATTCGAATCACGTGGCACGTGATTTGGTCCTCTTTCCGATTAAAACTACTTTAAAGATTTATTCTATTTTTATTTATCAAACTACTCACCACATATACTAACATATATAAAATAGCTTCTTAGCTTACCTTCTAATTCTTTCTAAAATTTTCTAATAATATTTATAAACAAATTTGAAAACCTTACTGTATTATACTCTCTAAATAAAAAAACTCAAAACAATATCTCTAATTATTTTAAACAAACTTTTTACTTATAATAATTGCTACGTTCAAGTCATTTAAAAATAGGTTATACATATATATGTCTATGTGGCTAACCTAACTAACTATATAACAATAATACTCATACTCTCTATTTGGACTAACATAATACAAAATTAAAATTTAGTCTACTTTATAGATCTAATATTGTTACTAATCTATTATAATTATAAATATTATCTAGGTGAGATTTTAACTGCTCTAGTAGGTTTAGGTTACAGATAAATTAGATAGTTTATTGTTTATAATTATTTACTATTTATAGTTTAAGTCTTAATTCTTGTAAACAAATTTGTAAATTTTGAGAAACCTTATATAGAACCTTGCACAAATTTCAATAAATATAAAGACAAAACCTTACCTTAATATTAAAAAAAAATAATAGTATATAATATAAAAACTCTACTTTAGCTACTGTTAATCTTATAATACAATTCATGACTCAAAATATTTATAAATTAAATATATAATAAAAGCTTACTATTATTTAATTATATAATATATAATATATATCTGTATACTATATATTAAACTATTATAAAAATTTTTTAAATTATTTTAAGTATGAATATACAAGTTGTATATAATTTTAAAATTTATTATTTATTATTATTATTATAATTTTAGTATTAACTCTTTTAGAATATATCAAATACCTTGTTATATTTGTAAATCTACTAATTATATATTAAAAAAGTATTAACTAGTTATAGTATAGAACTTGATTAGAAGTTTGGTTATATTAATATTTAGGTTTTAGAAATTTAATACAATAAATCTAACAATTAGCTCTAAGTAGAAGGCTAAAAGAAGGTATAAAAATTTGGTTTAAATTTTAAAGATTGTTTAAGAATTGTTCTAGTTTATTAAAGTAGATATTTTATCTTTATTCTTGTATTTCTTGTCTTTAGTTCTGTTTTTATAGGTTTTTTATATTTTTAATTCTTATTACATGATATATGATATGGTCTTTTTTATGATTAGTTAGTAATTTTAACAATAGTAATTGTTAAATAGTGAGTTTATCTATAGAACTATCTAAGATTAATTGATTATTATATCTTAAATTGATCAATTCTAATTATCATAGGGATGAGGTTTTAACAATAATAATATTTTAACAATATTAAATTTATACAACCAAACTTCTACTCAAATTTTGAAGTTAGTTCTTAGCACTAAACTTTATATATATCTTTTCTTAAATGCTTCAAAGTTATTTTTATTAAAAGGCAACTTTTATTACTTATATAAATAAATTTATATATAAAATAAACAAGTTAAAAGAGATAAAATAAAATAAAACTATTATATTGTTCTTATTTTTAAAATACTGTCAAATTATTCATTTAATATTATTTTGCTAATAATACTATTTAAAAATTATTTTTTGTACCTTCAAAATTTAATATTCATATCTTTCTAAAAATTAAAAGATTTTTAAATTTTAAATAAAATATCTTGACAACTATCTGATCAAATTAGATAAAAATATTTTTGTTTGAATTCTACAGATTTATAGAATTCAAACAAAAAAATTTTATAAAATTTGATTAGGTAATTATTAAGATAGATTCGTATTATTTCACAGATACTCAATTCACAGATATGCCACTTTACAAACAATCAATTCACAGACAAGCTTATTTCATAGACAACTAATTTCTAGACAAGCTTATTTTGTAGACAACTTATTTAATAGATAGCTCACTTCATAGACAAGTTTATTCCTATAAACTTCTCTAACTCTAGCTCTAACTCTAACCCTAATCTAATAAAAACAATATCTGTAAAATGAGTTGTTTATGAAATAAATTGTCTATGAAATAAACTTGTCTAGGAATTAGTTGTCTATGAAATAAGTTTGTCTGTGAATTAATTGTCTGTAAAGTAGCATGTCTGTGAGTTGAGTGTCTGTGAAATAAGTGCTACCTATTAAGATATCTTTACTCAAAGTTAATAAACAATTCAAAATATCTATTAAATAGAAACTATACTAGATTTTTTTTGACAACCACCTAACCAAAGTCAATAAATTTTTTTCTGTTAGAATTCTATGAATCTCTAGAATTCAAATAAAAAAAATTTTTATTGAATTTGGTTAGGTGATTGTCAAGATATCTTCACTCAAAGTTAGTAAATAATTCAAAACATCTATTATAATAGAAGCTATACCAAAATTTTTTTAAAACTTTGAATGAAGATATCTTGAAAACCACCTGACCAAAATCAATGAATTTCTTTTTATCTGAATTCTATAAATCTTTAGAATTCGAATAAAAAAATTTTCATTGAATTTAATCAGGTGGTTGTCGAGATATTTTCACTCAAAGTTTAAAAAAATTTGGCACAACTTCTATTTTGATAGATGTTTTGAATTATTTACTAACTTTGAGTGAAGATATCTCGAAACTACCTAACCAATTGAATGAAAATTTTTTTATTCAAACAAAAAAAAATTTTATTGATTTTGGTGAAGTAGTTATCGAGATACCTTTGCTCAAAGTTTTAAAAAAAATATAGTGCAGTTTTTATTTAATATGTTTTGAATTGTTTACTAACATTGAGTGAAGATATCTCGACAACCGCCTAACCAAATTCGATGAAAACTTTTTTGTTTGAATTCTATGAATCTGTAGAATTCGAACAAAAAAATTTTAATTGAATTTGATCATGTAGTTGTTAAAATATCTTCATTCAAAATTTAAAAATCTTTTAATTTCTAGGGAGGTATGAATATTAAATTTGGTACAAAAAATAATTCCCTACTGTTTTAGTCTTTTTTGTAGATCGGTATTATTTTATAAATCGGTACAATACCTTAAATAGGAAAATAATGATAATCGATAAAAACAGGAAAATCGAATAAAACAGAAAAAAACAGAAAATCGGAGAAATCGGAAAAATCGGAGTGGTACCACATTTAGCTGCAGTAGCTCCGGGGCAGATTTGCCATTGTAAAGGGCTAATTTGACCCTCTGGAAATACTGCGCTTCGACGTAGTACGATGTCCTATTTTTAGTTTGTAGATTCTCGCTTAGCCTATTTATAGTCAAACATGTATAATTAGAAGCCTTGTGTCAATCCCCTCCCATATTTATCGAATTTATGGCATAAATTCGATAAATTGATTTTATTCAAAATGTATTTACTAGTATCGCGAAAAGTATAA